CACCACAGAATTGGCCCCCAGACCCCTTCTCGCCATGATGCCTCTGATCTTCGCGCACACCGTCCCAACCTTAACTCTCACACTCTTGGCATGTTCCAGAAAGAGGAGCTTAGCGTCCAGTACAACGCCCAGATATGTCACCACCCGCGCAGGTACCATCCTCACCTCGCCTGCCCACAGAACAGGCGGCCGAACATTTCCCCTTGCAGGCAGAAACAACGCCTCTGTCTTCTCGACGCTGTACGACACTCCCGCACCCGCTGCCCATGCCTCCAACTCTTCCCAGACCAGCCTGAACATTCTCTCTAATTTTTTTGCTGAAGCGGCCCTGAGAATCAGTACCTGATCATCAGCGTACGCCTGGGCCGTCAGCGCTTTCACTCCCTCTCCCAAGCACTCCCCCTCACACATACCCTCAATGCGATCGATCGCCCTGAACCATCATATTGAGGACAATGGAGGTGTGCTCAATGGAGGTGTGCTCAATGGAGGTGTGCTCAATGGAGGTGTTCGTGGTTGGTGGCGTTTGAGAGTGGGCCAGGGAACTTTTAATTACGATGGCGGTGCCCCCGCCGTTGTTGTTGGGGCGGTCGTTTCTGTAGATATTGTAATTGTTTAGTCTGTACTGCGTTTGGGGTTGCAAGAAGGTTTCCTGAAGGAGCGCGATATCCACATCGTTTTCCCGGGGGTAGCCTTCAAATTCAAACCTTTTGGGAAAGAGAGAGTTGGCGTTCCAGGACACAATGTGAACTCCCGCGGGCTTTACGGGCATGCGAATGCTTGTAGAGCACTGCAGCCATTAATCATTGCCGCTATGCGGTTGATTTTTGCCTGAATTTCGCATTCAGGCATAAGAAGCAGCTGGATGAGCGCCGGATTGAGGTTGGCGCTTTGGTGGTCCGGAGAAGAAGCTGGAGCTTGCTGCACACGGGGGGCTTTTGGGGGCTGGGTGTTTGCGCTGGAGGCTGGGGGTTTGGGCGAAGGTGTTTGCGCCACTTTGGCGGCGAACGAAATCGTAGAGTCTACCTTGTTCTGGAAACTAGCTTGTTTGTTCTGGAAAATGGCTAGTTTCTGTTTGGCCTGGGTTTGGGCTATGAAGTTGGGGTTTTTAGGGCACTTCAACGACTCGCTTTTTGGGTAGAATTGTCTGAAATATTCGTTCTTTGCCATCTGTGCTTTCCCATACTTTCTTCAGCAAGCCGTTATTAATCTCCAGCGAATTCCATTTAGCCCAATAGTTTTTGCATGCTGGTGACTTCATGGAAATATCTTGCCACGAAGGTTTGTCTTCATCGGCTGCTTTTAATTGGTAAATCGGCCCGATATCGGGGTCCTCTTCTTGTTCTTTGGCAATGATACTTGGTTCCCATTCTTCCAAACA